TTTCACTAGTTATAATAAAAAAAGGGTTAAAGATAATAGACCAATTAATAAGATCAGTTATACCAGCCTTAACCGACTTAACCATCCTATTGGAATTAGAAACTAAGTTCTCTGCCTTTTTATAATTATTTATTATAGTAGAATCCTTTTCTAATACCTGCAAACCCTTTGCCTAAATAAGGTGCTTCTGATAATAAAGATGCATAAGCTTTGATAAATGCTTATTTAATTATTTTTATAAGTTAATAAGCTCTTCCTTGGTAGCCTCCTTATTAGCCTTAATTTGGTTCTTCTCCTAAACTAAGTAATTAGCTAGAAAGAAAATTAGTAAGATAAAAACGCTTACCTAAAGAAAGTATAATAAACCTTTAGATAAAGAAATGCCTTTCCTGTTATAAGAATAGCCCTAATAAGTATACTTAGAATAATTCTTTTAACCTTCCTTTATTATATACCTCTTATAATTCTTAGCATAAAAAGAACAAGGTATAATTTTATAACCTATAAATATAATAAGTTTTACTTAGGCAAGATAACACTAAGTTTCTAAAGAAGATATAATTAGCATATTAAGAGAAATAATTATAAGAATAAGTTAAGACTTATATAAGGAGGAAATAATACACTTAGGGTAAGCAAGGTCTTAAGGGCAAGACCAGGAGAGAGGAGAGATTATATTATAATCCTAGCGGTTATATTATATATACCTTATATTTTTTACTAATTATATATAATTATTATAGACTAAGAGATTCTATTTATAACCGCTAAGATCTGGTCATAATAGTTACTTTAAAAACACCAGTAATTCTCGGAATTACATAGTAACTACGCAGGTTACTCTATAACTACCTCAAGTATATAGACTATATTTATTACACTTCCATAGAACTTATCTTACTAGCTATTAATAAAACTTCTTTATATTAATTAAGCCTAATACGTATTAAATCTACTATTAAGAGATATAATACTTCGATAAGCTTAGCATCACGCCCTATGCCATCTGCTAATAATAAACTTAGCACGGCTTAGTTTATCCATAGTTGGAAACTAACTATTACAATTTATTAAAGTTAAAGTAATAAAGTTAATATTAATTACTATATAAAAAAAGTATAATTTTAATTAAATAAAATTAAAGGTAAAGGTTTAAAGTATAAATAATAAAAAGTATATAATTAAATAGTAAATAGTAATTACTATTATATAGTAATAAGGAAAGCCAGTATAGTAAATAAGGGTTAAAGGGAGTAGTTTCTTTTAGGGTAAGGGTAAGTGTATAAGAACTATATAATTAGATAGTAAATTCTAACTATTATTATATAAGAGTAAGGAAGAGCCAAATTAACTTTGGTTTTTAATTATATTTTTTACTTACTGGCTTATTTTCGGTATATTATTTAAGTATAATAAAGGAGGGCTTAGTATCTAGAACTATTTTAGTAGTGTTTCTTTATTTAGTTAAATTTCTAGATATATTAGAGCTTTATAATAGTTAATAGGCCAATTTCTAGTAAACCTCTAGCCAGATAAGATAATCTCCTTCCTTATAGCTGCCTCCCTGGCTTTTATATATACCTAAATAAAGTTAACTTTATTAACTGGCATAGAATTAGTTAAATTAGCTAACTTTTAGAGTTCTTTCTAATATATACCTTTAATAATATTAAAAATTCTATTATCTAATAGCTATAAATTATAGGAATAATATATAGGTAGGTAGTAGCAGTAGATATTATTTAGAAAGTATATTACTATCTACTTATCCTAACTACTTATTAATAACCTTATAATAGGCAACTCTGTAGTAAAAATACTAAAATACTTACCTATATATAACTACTATAACTATTAAGGATAATAAGTCTTATATCTAATATATTAAAAGGCTTTATTTAAGGTAAATAAATATCCTTTAATTATTTAAGAGCTATATAATTATTAGTCTAGCTATTTAGGGATATAATATAATACTAATCTACTATTAATTTAAATTTATTAAGGAATTACTACTTTTATAGCTCTTTTCCTTTAAAGATAATTCCTAGTTTTAAAATATAACTAATTATAATAATAGCCTTAATAAATAAAGTCTAGGTATATAACTAAATGCCTTTTAATAGCGCCTTCTTTAGGTTAAAACTCCTAATTATAAGGTTATTTAAGCCTTATAAATAACTAATTAGTTATATCCTATTAAAACCTATAAGGAACTTATAGAAGACTTATTAAAACCTACTATTATACTACCCTTATTTATATTAACTATATTCTTAGGCTTAATCTAGCTATACTTATTCTTCTAGATATTAAAGTATTAATTAATAGCCTTTAGAGTAAACCTATTAAACCTAGCGGCTTCCTAGTACTTTCTAAGCTTAATAAATAGTTTTAAATAATACTTAATAAACCTAGTAATCTAGTTTTTACCTAATAGCTTATTATCTCCCTATTAATAGAGGAGGGCTTTAATATAGCTTTAAAGTTAGCTATATATAAGAGTATAGCCTAAGGATTCCTACTATAGAAGCTAATAAATAAGGTAATCCTCCTAACTTATAGAAATATATTAGTAAGAGTAGGTAGACTCTTTCTTACTCTTCTAGCCAGAAAGTCTTTTAAAAAGGATAAGTTAAGGCATATTATATTTATTAGAGGCCTAATATTATAATAAAAAACCTTTAGTAATATTAAATATAGTATTAATAATATTTCTTTTAATATAAATATAATAACCTATTTTAGAGATATTTTATATATATAAACTGTATAAAAAGTCTTCTCAACTTTATAAGAGTTAAAGGATAAGAAAGTAAGAAATATAAATTTTTTAATATCTTAAAACCCCTATAATATATATAAAGTTAGAAGAAAAATAGCCTAAGATAAGATACTATATAAAAAAATAATATACTATAATTTTTTCTTTTATAAATAGCTTTATTATGCTAAAATGCAGTGTAAATAAAATAGTAGGATTTATATAGAGCGGTGATTTTTTATACTATGCTTTAAGTGGTGGGGAATGGTAATTAATATGAACAACTGATTAATCTTTGTGCGGCTTCAAAGAGATGCATATGCTGCTTGCTTTTGGTCCATTTATGCAGAAGCATAGTCAAAAGAGAATTAAATTACAAACACGGTAAACAATAGCGAAAAAAGGCGTACGGTTCAGTGACACGAACATGAAAGATAACGGCTGTTTTTTTTTTAGTTGGTAGTGGCACCAGATCGTGGCTTATGCGCGTGGTTCTTTGACACGTGCAGTGAATGGTGAGACTTGCATCGCGATGGCTTCAATTACGTCGCTGGAGGGCCATCCTTTTCTTTGATTTAGCAAGGCAAAGATGTCGCTGGCTTTTGCACAGCAGCAATTGCAGACGTTAATAAAGTTTGTCGCTCTTCACTTCCCCGTTCAGATAATCAGATCAAACCAAAAAGAGCAGTGAATGGAACGGATAGAGACCGCAAGTTTGTAGCTCTTGGGGGTTTTCAAATCAATTGGATACTCAAATGGTTCATTCTCCCGCTCATATAGCAACACTGAGAGTAGCTATAGCCTCACAGCCAAGTTCATGTTCTCTTTGAAACTATCGCGATACTCATGCTCATTGCGCGTTTCCAAGCAAAACAACTAGCAGAATATTCAAGTAAGCATCTACTGATGCATCTGACAAGGGAATCCATATGTTCTCCTCGCCCATTTGCCTCGTTCAAGTGAAATCTGGCATCAGGCATTACTAGTGTGTCTGTTGGCGCATTCCAAAAACACTGATACTTGCTGGCGAGTATATAGATCCCTCAGACCGCTAAATATTGTCCTTCGTGACAAATCCATCGACCCGCTCAAGTGCTTAGATAGAAACAGTAGCAAAGGGTTGAAGGCAGGGAGGATATTGGTATTTTGCTCAGACCCCTACCATGACATTCACGTTCAAACGCCACAGCATGCACTGCTCTGTTCTCTGGATTAACGTTAGCGATGTTGGTGACGGCTTGGACGTCACAAATGTTACATACAGTGTTATGAGCATGGAAAGCCTAGTGTTTTCGCCGTGCTGAGGGTTACCATTCTGTTTCTTTCGGCTTGAGCCTCTGGTTCTTGAGCTTTCACTGTAGCCAGGTTGAATTATGTTGTTCTTCGCTATCCTTTTACAAGCGCTGTTTAGCAACCTCACATACCTTCTTACATCAGTCATTCTGTGTTTTCCTTTTGCAATGGCTGGTCTGCTACGAGAATCTTAAAAGATCAGGGTGATCAGCTTCCATTGCTCTAGCATCTTGGATTAACATATGTGCCAACCATTCTCCTGGCGGCTTTGTGCGAAAGCCTAATATTTAAACTATATCCTGGTGTCGACTTTGCCACTGAAAGCTTTATAATCAGATACCACTCTAATTTCATTCCCTCATCGTCATGGCCCAGGTCATCGAAGCTTAACGCGAGCGTCTCTGTTAATGCACTATCCCTCGTTAAAAGAGTCGATTGGCTGGTGTTTACGTCCAAATTAATAGCAGGATATGGTAGGTAAGAATATTCAAGTTGGTGGGCGTTTCGGGACTGACGATCGAGCTGCCGGAGAGCTGGCGCATGACATCCTTATCTATGAGAGTTCCATCCACTGCCTGCATTTTTTGTATTGCTATTATGTCTAAGTATGTTCCTGGCCAGCTTCGGGTGGGAAGTGCGCAGACTATCAGCAACAGGGTGACGCCCGGAAGTGCCAGGCTCGTTCGGCTACGAATGAACTGGGGGTAGATAGCCTTCATGCGGGAGAAGCGCGGCACTGAGACCGGGTCAGGCGAAACTATACCATGCGGCACCCCGAAGTATGCTAGACGCTGAGCCGCCTGGCAATCTAACTGGCATCGATTCTGAAAACAGTCTGGAGCTGCCACACGGGTTGAGAGAGCAAATCCCGAGTCTGCCCCAAGGCTCAGCATAGTACCAGTAGGTCGCACTCACAGTGTTCTCGTGAACTGCCCTAAACTTTTCAGATCATCTCCTTTACATATGGCTTTTGTGGTGCCTTAGCCGAAATATGGATGCCTGTTTCAACCATTAGCACCACAATTGCACATAATAGTGCTTGACTTTCACCCTGTACAGTAGTTCTTTATCCACGATATAACACAGTCTATCGATATCAGGACTGTCGAGCATACGGAAGAGGCGTACATCGTCTTTTATATCAGCATTCATACCGAATTTACATGCATTTTCGCCACGTGGTACGTCCTGAATCTATACACCTTGTAGCTTATCCACATGAATGCGCATATAGCACCTGAGATTAACCAGAACCTTCCAAAGTCCGGGTTTCCAGGGCCCCAGCTCGTCTGCATACCAAGAATTGCAGCCAAAGCATTGAACGGAAGCACAATGGTGGCAATGACAGTCAAGAATGATAGCCTATCATTCTGCTTGGCGGACTGCTCCCCCTTCCTAATTTGAATCATGGAGGTGACAAGGCCTAGAGTATCGGATAGTCGGGCTGCATTATCCAGTATAGTGGTCCTGACCTGTTCGAAATCTCCTTCCACGGAGGCCCTTGCTTTCTCAGCTGCAGGTGAATATGTTGCGATCCAGGCTTGTGGCAAATACTTTCGGAAGAGATCTAACTGTTCATCAACTAAACCCTGGTACTTGCGAATCCGACGACGTAGAATAAATAGCTTCTTGAGAAAACTTTCCGGTATTATCATGCCTGGCTCATCGTTCTCCAGCCTCCACTCCAGAGTGTTTAGGTCCCGCTCAACGTAGGCGCTGGTGGAAATCCACTCAGATGCTATGATGCGAGCCACGGCTTGAGTTATGATGAGGGGATGAAAATCACCCCCTTGAGCAAATTCATGCATTAGAATATGTGCTAGAGAGTCTCGGTAGTTGGATCTGGGCTCTTGATCCCTTCCCTTTACTTCATTTGGTAACGGACGGCAGATAAAGGAACGGTACGCCGAGTCAGCTCTGGTGCCGTACATGGTTTCGCCATCTTCAGGTTCGAAAGGAGGGTCAACCAGTATTATTGCTGCATTTACGTTATCGGGTGCTTCTTCCTTTTTCTTTTCTCCCTTATGTTGTCCACGCAAGTATAGTCTGGGGAGCATATCTTACCTTTCGTCCACTCCGAATGAGTAGAATCGTCAGGCTGTTTGAACCAGATAGAAGCGCAATGGCGCGCCATTGCAACGTTGTCAAATTGCCGACCTCCTTTTCCTAGTTTTCTCGTTATGGGAACATGAAGACCTGCAATTCGCTCGACGTTCATTTTCTCCATATCGGGCTTCATTCGCTCCAACAATTTGCCAGAATCTTCTCTTCTGTACTCTCTGGGGCCAACAAATCGAAATGAGACATGATCGTAACGAGTGTTCGTAGATTTAAGAATAGGCAGGTATCCGTCAATGGCCTGGTGGCGGTACCATGCCTTGGTAACCAGATCGGGCCTGGGTGATGTTTCCTCTTTCGTGATATCCATCTCGGCCGGCACGGCATCGATATAGTCAAGGAAGAACTGGGGATCGATATCCCAAAGCCCGCCAAAGAGACGGATTACCTTGGGAGTTATGTTTTCAACGATAAAGATTTGGCGAGAAGAATCCATATCGACCTTGGAAGCCAGTTCATGTTCCTTTACATTGGGGGTAAGAGTCAGATTGCCAGACTTGTCGAACGATATGAGTGATGATTTCGCGCCTCCGACATGGAATGGGACCCCGTTTGGGCCCGGATAACTGTCGAGATGCAGGAAACTGTCGAGGACCTTATATCTCAGGAAGATTCTCGAAGTCTTCGCTCTCTCGGCAAGGGATGCAATGAAGTTGGTGTACTGCTCTTCGGCCTTCTCGACCGCAACCTGTCCCATATTCACATCTGTAGCCATCTCGAGAGAGATACTATGTATTTCGCCTTGCTTGACCGAGTTCCTCAATTTCTTCACTTGAATTTCGTACCATGCTCCTCCTGCGCCCACTCCCACGCATTTAAATACACAAAAGCCAAAACGCCAGGGTGTCAGCTGAGTCTATCACACACCAAAACAGTGGTACTCAAGCCACTCGGGCGCAGTTGGGCATGACGCGGCTGCCTAAAGACAGGATAAAGACAGACATTGCTGACCCCCACGGATTGAACTCGACTACCGTGCAGGGGTGCATATTGTATTTTTGATCTTTAAACGATCCCAGCCACAACCTGCCAGAATTACAAAAGCGAAAAGATGGTGTGAAAGGCCACCGGGGAGCCGGGGTATCATCCGATACTAGGCCGGCGGCATGCCGCATTACTGCAACCCACGGCGGAAGCTATTGGCCTTGAATAATACACTATGGCTTGCAGTGGCTTAAATATGGCCATGATAAAGCTCCTCCTGTCTCATTCTCATCCACTGCCTCCCCTCAGAGGCCGCCAGCGGCAGGCAACGGCAGCCAGTGCCAGGTCAGCAGTTGGTCGATTACTTATAGATCGAGTAAGTATGCCTACTGACTCCGAATGATAGGTGATGTTGCCTCGTAGGCGAGCTTGAGCATCCCTTTCCTCTGCAATTTGGCCCTTAGATGACATGCTGTGCGTCAACTCTGCCATTGAACCCCTATGCTATTCTAGGCTCGAGCTGCAGTAATTCCTAGTCGCTTTAGTGCTCAGCCTCAGTTGAGGCTAAAAGCAGTGTACTGAGCTCTGCCAATCATAATTCAGGCATATCGACAGCGTCAGCAGTTACTGAGCCGAGGCGGGTTTCATGCCGTAAGGCGTTCTAAACCGGTATGTTAGTTAATTTTCTTGCCTGCCCGTATGATTGTGCTCAAACTTTTAATCTCTGTATACGGTCTTAGAGCGCATGAATCCGAGGAGAGATGCCTCTGTGTTGATTGTCATCGGATTTGCAATGCATAAGAGCCCTGTCGCTGATAAATAGCCTCGATGATAGCTCAGACCAAGAGTCAAGTCTCATCATCTCTTTTACCATTGAGCTTGCCTTCTGCTTAATAATAGCTAGTCTGCATTGCCTATTAGAACCAGTGACTGGATATTTGCCTATCTAAGGCTTATATCTCTCTTTTTTCCGTTAAGGGAAGATATTCTACAACACTTGGTGTCTTTCCTAAGTCATTTGCTGTCCCAGGACGTCATTTCGTTCGATATGGAGACATTTTTGTCCTTTTTTCTATGCGCATTTCAGACATAAAGGCTCAGATTCAGCCTTCTGCCACAAGACCTGTAGAGCGGAGATCTGAATCATGCGAGGCAGACGGCAATAAGTGAGGGCACGCGAGTTCTTGTCTAGAGGCCCTGGGTATCTCACCTGATCTCCCTGTTGTATATAGTGCAGCAACAATTTTGTCCCAGCCCCCAGATTATGTTCCTTGGGTCGCGCCATTAGGTTTATGCAATTGACCTAGGAGAAATCAGACTGTTGGAAACCCAGAGCGAGAAATACTTTATAAGGTGGGAGGCTGTATAGCGTCGTCGGCTCTAAATACCGTGGACTGTCATTCCTGTGTTGGTTTTGGTAGAGAGCGATAGTCACAATTGGCTGTCTATCTGTTCCAGAAGCGCCTTTGGAAGTCTTAGTCCGGAAGTGGATGACAAACTTTTAGAAAAACTCCAATAAGGCATATTTAGCCATGCCGAGCCATGCTACCAACGTTCATCTGGAGATCTATTTGCCTAAGCTCACTTCTTAAGAAGTGTTTGAGATAATTATATATCCCAAAATTACAAAACAAGCCAGATAATCGCAAGGGATCTCATCACTTAAGCTTACAAGACCAATAGCAAGGCTTATAGGTTAAATATCATAAAGCCCTACCACTTATTATAATAGTAAATTGGCCAATTTACCTTTTCTTTGTATAGGAGTTTAGCGCGGCGCTATTATATTATGGGTTAATTCACCTTTTTTAAACCTTGTAATTTACCTTTTCCTTAGACCACCGAAAAGTCTTATTTTCTGCGGTTAGATTAATTTAAAAATAAACTATGTATTATATATCTATTTAATTAGATAGTTAAAGGTTTCTTCTCTCCTAACCCTTGTGTTATTACTAAGATATTAGCATAACCCTGATATTGATTTGGATTTTAATATAGTAGACCCCTGACCTAAGCTTACTATATTAAATCTAGCTGCTATTTTAGCTTAAGCTAATTAAACTCTGATATTTAATTAATTAGTATAATATACTTATTTCTTCTAATTAATATTATCTAATTAGATAAAAAAATAATAGTAATATCCTCCCCTATATCCCTGTTATCTGCCGTATCCCTATTCTTTGCCGTATCCCTGCCTTTATTAACTAGTATGGCTATAGTAACTATAGCTATTGCCTGATTTAATATACTTAATTAATGGCCTATATCTTAATATAGGGGTTCTAGAAAGGATCTATAATAATAAACTAAGATATAGCAGCTCTAGTAATTATAGCTAAAGCTCTACTAGGAAGTCTTAGATCCTTATTAGCAAAAAATCTACTCTTTATTCTCTATTATTATCCAGTCTTCTTAATAGTTATTATCCATTCTTATTAACCTTTATCTAATATTATCTAAATAGATAAAACAGGCTATAGATATTATCCCCTATTACTTATTATAATAGTAAATTGGCCAATTTACCTTTTCTTTATATAGGAGTTTAGCGCGGCGCTATCATATTATGGGTTAATTCACCTTTTTTAAACCTTATAATTCACCTTTTCCTTAGACTACCGAAAAGTCCTACTTTCTGCGGTTAGATTAATTTAAAAATAAATTATGTATCATATATCTATTTGATTAGATAGTTAAAGGTTTCTTTTCTCCTAACCCTTATATTATTGCTAAGATATTAGTATAACCCTGATATTAATTTGGATTTTAATATAGTAGACCCCTGACCTAAGCTTATTATATTAAATCTAGCTGCTATTTTAACTTAAGCTAATTAAACTCTAATATTTAATTAATTAGCATAATATACTTATTTCTTCTAATTAATATTATCTAATTAGATGAAAAAACAACGGCAACGTCCTCCCTTATATCCCTATTATCTGCCATATCCCTATTCTCTACTGCATCCCTGCCTTTATTAACTAGTGCAGCTATAGTAATTATGGCTATTGCCTGATTTAATATATTTAATTAATAGCTTATATCTTGATATAGGGGTTCTAGAAAGGATCTATAATAATAAACTAAGATGCAGCAGCTCTAGTAATTATAGCTGAAGCTCTACTGGGGAGTCTTAGATCCTTATTAGTAAAGAATCTGCTTTTTATTCTCTATTATTATCTGGTCTTCTTAATAGTTATTATCTGTTCTTATTAACCTTTATCTAATATTATCTAAATAGATAAAATAGGCTATAGATATTATCCCCTATGTCCCTGTTAAGTAATATTAAACCTGCTTTTATTATCTGTTATAATATAGATTCCCTTAACTTTGGTATATCTTTAATAAGTTAGTTACGTTTATTAGTTACTTTATTTGCCTTTATTTAGTCTATTTAATTATTATTATCTATTTTTATCTTGCCTTATTATCTAATTAGATAAAAAATTACTAAAAGAGCACTTTATTGCCTATATTAAGTAATACTAAACTTACTTTTATTATCTATCTTTATTTAGTCTCTTTAATTATTATTATCTGTTTTTATCTAATATTACCTAATTAGATAAAAAATATTAAGACTAGCAGTTCATTATCCCTATTTAGCAACACTAAACTTGCTTTTATTATCTGCTTTTTATCTTAAACTATCTAGTATTATTTACCTTTATTTAGTCCCTTTATTACATTTATATATTTATAAATTATTATAGTATTACTTAACCTAATAAATTTCCAAGATAGTTTTTATCCCTATCTATCTGCCTTTATTTAGTCTTATCTAATACTACCTGATTAGATAAAAGTCTTTAAAAGAGCAATTTATTATCCCCATTAAGCAAAACTAGACTTGCTTTATTATCCGCTTTTATCCCTATTTATCTGCTATTATCTGCCCTAATATATCACGCCTAATATAGACTCCCTTAACTTTAATATATCTCTAACAAGTTAGTTAAGCTCGTTAGGCCCTTTATTATTAACTATCTGGTTTTATCTGCCTTTATCTGGTCTCGTATTATAATTATATGTTTATAAATCACCATGGCGTTGGTTAACCTAATAGATATTTAAGATAATTTTTATCTTTATTTATCTATCTTTATCTAGTCCCTGGTATTATTATTATCTATTCTCGTCTAATATTATCTAATTAGATAAAAAATCATTATCCCTATTAAGTAATACTAAACTTGCTTTTATTATCTATTTTTATCTAGCTCTATTACTTTTATCCTTACTAATAGCTTAAGAAATGCAAGGCAGCTAGGGCTTTTAATGCACTTAGGAATACCTAAACTTCTAAACTAACTTACTTTTATTACCTATTGTTATCTGCTCTTATCTGTGACTATCTAATTAGATAAAAAACCTCTAAAGAGGAATTTATTATCCCTATAATGCGATACCAGACTTGCTTCTATTATATGCCTTTATCTAGTCCCTATTATTATTATTATAGGTTTATAAATCACTATAGCATTAATTGACTTAATAGATTTATTAGATGATTTTTATCCCTATCTATCTGCCTTTATCCAGTCTATTTTATTATTATTATCTATTCTTATCTAATATTATCTAATCAGATAAAAAGTCATTATCCCCATTAAGCAATACTAAACTCGCTTTTATTATCTGTTTTTATCCCTATTTATTCGCCTTTATCTAGTCCCTTTATTATAACTATAGGTTTATAAATTACTATAGCATTAGTTAACTTAATAAACTTCCTAGATAACTTTTATCCTAATCCATCTGCCTTTATCTCTAATTATCCGC